GATGAATTTGCATGAACATCTGTGAGGATGTTAACTAGTTCGATTTAACTCCTCCTCTCTCTCTCTCACTCTCTCTATGATGCATGAATTCCCCCCGCAGCCAATCAAAACCAAAAACGCATCTTCCCTTCCCTCCACACACTCTCTCCTCTTTTTGTGTACTAGTTGGGAGATCCCCGCTGGGTGCTAATCATTCAGTGTTAAGTGGAGTTTGATTAAAATGTCTGTTGTGTCATTAATACAAAACAAACACATCATTATCACAGCCAGTCTCTTTTACACACACACACACACCAGTGCGCAGTTTGGATTACTCTTTTGTCTCGCCTGTGCCATACCTGTTTGCCATTGTCAGAACCTTGCCTGTTTTTTGACCATGTTTAAGAATAAAGTATGCCTCTCGTCTCGTCGGCTCCGTTACAGCAGTACTACTTGTGTAAAATGCAAATTTCTAAATATTAAGCCTAAAATGGGTTTTACTACTAAATATGTCACTACTGATGAGAATTGTATGATCTTTAAATAATATCAGTCTTTAAATGCAAGATATTTAAAGTGTGCCTGAAGTATACTTGCAATAGTTCCACTTTAGCACAAACAAATATACTTAAATATATCTTTAGTTGCACAATTAAAATGCACAAAATTAATTGTTCCAATTTAGCAGACTTTAAGTATACCATTTTAGTATACTAAAAGTACAATTACAGGGTATTTTTATCTATGTAAATATGTAAATGTATTTTAAGTATATACTTAGCATTAAATCAATGTATTTCAAATACATTTTAGTATATTCATTTTTACTAGGGTTTATATGTTTGATAAAATATTATATAAAATAATATTTAATATAACTAAATCAATCAGATTTCACCAGCCAAAAGTGCACTGGAAAAAAAAATTATAAAGAAGCAGCAAGTAACACATTGAATTAAACAAGAAATTTTGAAGTAGAAAGACTCAAACTGTATTTTCTCGTAAACCAAACCCAGCAGTCGTTTTATTTAAATCTTTGAAAAATCAGTTGTTACAGTGATTTTTAAGTGTTAGATCAGGTAGAAATAGCTCACAGATGTATAAACTGCCCATTTTCACCTTTTTCCAGTGTCATTGTCTATGCATATTAAGCTAGAACTGGAGAGAGTACTTCATCATAGAAAAAATGCTAATTATCATGCATAATTACATTCAGTTCTCTGTGAGTATAGCCTCCTTTAAGAAACACACACACATACACACACACACACACAATCTCTTCAAGTCCACTCTTCTGGTTTACAGCCCACCATCTCACATCTGCGCTAACACATTACTCTACACTGATCTAAGAACAGCTGACAAAGGGAAAATGTATCAGGTCCCTCCCACTGAGAGAGGTGAGTCATCGTGAGGAAACCCCTTCGAAAATGATCAAATGCTCACTCAAACACACATGCTCACAAACATCCAATCATTCCAAGGCCAGCTGCTGCTGTTTCAGCTTCTGATACACCCCACTGTGGACACCGGACATCTTGGGATCATTTTTTAAAATCTGTTCACCACCTGTATTTAAACTTCTTTCATCATCCTACTGAGCGCACATGACATGTCATTAATGTTGACTCTCTAGTCTTTTCTTTCATGATATCACCAAAACGTTCTACAGCCCCACTTAGATTCTCTATTAGACAGTAAAGACAATTATAATGTTACAAAAGTTAATTTCTACTTCAAATAAATGTTATTTTGAATGTTCTATTCATCAAAGAATCCAGAAAATAATATATTACAGTTTTCACACAAATATTAATCAGCACAACCGTTTTCAACTGTGGTGGTGATAAGAAATGTTTCTTGAGCGCCATTATGAGCATATTTGAAGGATTACCTAATACAGAAGACATCATGTAATAATCATGTAACAAAAATTCAGCTTTGCCATTACAGGAATAAATGGTCTTTTAAAATATATTAATCTGTTCTTATAAATTTAGTAATATTTCTCAATAGTACTGTTTTTACTGTATTTTTGATCAAGTAAATGCAGTCTTGGTATAAGAGACTGCTTTCAAAAACAAAAAATCTATACTATTGAACTATACTATTTTACTATAACTATACTATACTATTTTAACTATACTAAACTATTGAACAATAGATTTTGTGTATATGTATATTTTTATAGTTGCATTTCTTTTTGTATGTGGTGACAAATAACAATCTCTGTGAGTGAGTCAGTGAATCATTCGACTGAATCATGCAAATACACTGATTCATTCAGAAAAGAAAAAAGCGACTGTCCTTATGAGTGACTCCCTGAATCATTCACAAAGATTCATTCAGAAACACCAGGTTTATTGCAAAACACTGTGGAGATAATTTGTTTTAGTGCATTCACTATTTATTTTAGGCTGATTTCATCAGGAACAAAAGTTAAATTGCATGTCTTTACAGTCACGCTGCTTAGATGCAGTTTGAATACTGCCCTGTTTATATGGGCACCAAAATGTATGCATGCTGCTTACATGTTCCATGTGCACCATGAAACAGGCCTGTATATAATGTGAGAGCAGAAGGCATTTTTAACATATGTGAAATACTCACCTACTGTTTGCAAATAGACGTCTGTCTGACTTCATGCAAATTACACACACCCAAACCCAGCACATCTAAATTAATCCAGTTTATTGCTGTAGTTTAGTTTGTGTTCAGTAGATTTTGGTATTTGAATTTCCCATGTAAATTACATTTTATGATTTTATTTTTTATTTCTTTCAAAAAAAATTTTTTTACATTTCTTAAACTTAATTTAGCTGCGTCAAACTGAAACTCAGCAGAAAGCACTGTGACAGGTTGAAATCCTAAATCGCCCCAGGCCAGACATTTAAAAACTTAAGAAATTGCTGGTGAGGACTGTATGTCTGGTGGAGAATAATTTTAGATACATTTTATTTTGGTTCATGAAAGGTGATCCACCATTTGAAATGATTTTAAATGAGTGCCCGGAGTGTTCTGTATTAGTGAGAGAACCTGACCTTGAGAGCTTCAGGAAGAGCAGGTAATGAGTGATAAAAACGCTCAGTTCAGATAAGGTTAGGAAGAGCAGAGCACTTTCCCCACCAATGCAGTCAATTTGTTTTGGGTTTATTAAACTGAAGGCATTCATCAAATAAGTTCTTTTGCAGTGCTTGAAACAGCACAGAAGAGAATGTTTAAATGGAGTTCATCTTCTAAACTGGCCTGACCTCTTTGGTTTTGAGTTCACTTTTATTCTCATGTCCCCTTTAGACAGCCAGTCTTGTCTATTTAGAACGTACATTTTTAGAAATCCAGTCTGTATTAAGAACCACTGTGTTCTTGAAAATCCCATGAAAAGGCTTGACGAGTAAAGTGTTATTTCATATTCAGCCTTCCTGTAGCTCATAGTAGAACACAGTGGTAGCAACGCCAAGGTCACGGGTTTGAAAGCAAGAAATGATAAAATGTGTACCTTGTGTACCTTGAATGCAATATGTATAAGTCACTTTGCAAAAGCATCTGCTGAATAGATGTGATCATTTCCTAGTGAAACAGCATGTTCTAATGTGATATTTTAAAGAGTGCATGATTTTTTTTCTTTCAAATACATGAATAAAAAAGGTAATGGCCTCAAAGCTAACATGAACTAAAAGCCATGAATGTCCAGATTTTGATTTTATGGGTTTAATTGTGCCCTACAAGGTTAGCTTGATGAATAGATTTGCCAAATTACAATGAAACTGTGAACCTCAACTACAGGTTCTAAAGCATTATCTCTTGAATAAGAAAAATGCAGTGTTCAAATAGAATACTACACTCTAAAAAATGCTGGGTTAAAAAGGGACAAACCCAGCTATTGGGTTGTTTTGACCCAGCGGTTGGGTTCAAAACATCCCAACCAGTATATGTAATATATATACAGTATATATGTGTGTGTGTGTGTGTGTGTGTGTGTGTGCGTGTGTCACGATACTGCTGTTAGGGAGACGAAGGCACGACGAAGATTATAACAAATACTTTTAATGGTAATCCACAGTGAAGGGCTAGCAGAAAGGCAGACAGACAAGACAGGTGGAGGCTCTGGCGGAGGACGGACACCCGGGAGGAGGACGATGACAACCAAAGTCCAGGGTGGAGCTGACGGAGGGAGGAGCCAGGGAGAAGCCAGGAGGGAGCAGGAGGAGCCAGGTGTGACCCAGGCCACAGCCCTGATGGTGGCCCACGGTGGAGCCGACGGAGGGAGGAGCCAGGAGGGGTGGAGGAAGGGCTGCCGACTCCAGGGGGCCGACCGACGGCGGCGGAGCAGATGGTGGTGGAGCCCGAGGTGGAGACGGAGAGCCGATGAGCCAGGGCCACGGGGAGGGCTAAGGCGGAGGGCCAAGGTGGAGCAAATTGCTCTGGCGACTGAGGCGGAGGAGTGGAGTCCTGAGGCGGTGGATGGTCGACGACAGACCAAGGCGGAGCCGGAGGGACGAGGGAGCCCGGCGGAGCTGGTGGACTTGAGGGCCACAGCGGAGAGGAGGGAGCTAGGAGCCATGGTGGAGTTGCTGGGTCGACGGGCTGAGGCGGAGTGCGGGACTCAGAGGCTGGAGGCAGAGACAAGGGATCCTCCAGCCACGACGCCGATGGAGACTGGCGGACCAGCGGCGATCCCACCTCACAGACGGTGGGCTGAGGGTGAGCAGAGGGGCTGCCAGGACGCAGCGGTGGCTGAGGCAGGGATGACAGGAGGAGACAGGAGAGGGAGAGTGGGTGGGAAATCCAGACAGGTAGAGGGTTCCGGGAAGGTGTGTGCCGCCCACACACACCACATCGCGACTCCCAACACTGGGAGTGCGGCGCACAGGGGTACGACCTCCGGGGTGGTTTCAGGGCAGGCAGAGAGTTCAGGGCAGACAGATAGTTCAGGGCAGACAGAGAGTTCAGACGAAGGCGGGAGAAGAGGGGGCATGTCTGCATATATATCCAAACAAAACAGTCCACTGAGCTCGGCTCACCCTCAGCCATGGTGCAGTGGGCGGAGCTTCCCTCCGCGCTCTCCTCCGTGGCGAGCACTGTAGCCGGCTCTCGCACATGGTCTGACGTCGATTGATGCTCTGGCTCCGAGGCGATGCTCAGCTCTGTCGCTCCACTTGGCGATGGCTTGTCGGTCGCGGCGGGCTCTGGCTCTCCGTCAGCAGTGGGCTCAGGCTCTTGCTCCGCACAGCAGGGGTGATGGTGGGCTGGGCTCTGTGTCTGGCTGTGTTCTGGATCCGGGGCAGACGCTCTCCAGACACCGGATGATTGCCTCCCTCCAGCACAGTCCGGTGGTGTCTGGGAGGTCGACGGGCCAATGGTGATTAGCCCCGATCCAGAACAGTGAGTTCAGTGTCGCGTCGTCGAAAGCTGTTAAAAGGGTGAGCTGGCTGAACTCAACAGCATAGTCCAAAACGGGAAGGTCTTGACAGTATAGGGCGATGAATAGGTTGGCGATATCCATAACTAAAAATAAAACTGACAAAAACGGAAAACAAAACGAGGGGGAGACGCCGCTTACTTATTCTTTGTGGTCCGGTATTCTGTTACGATACTGCTGTTAGGGAGATGAAGATTATAACAACAAATACTTTTAATGGTAATCCACACGAAGAAGAGGATCTAACACACAGGGTAACATCAACAATACCGGACCAAGGAAGACATGACAGACTACATTTTAAATACGGGAGCAAATGAAGATAATTAATGACACACACCTGAACTAAATGACACAATCAAACATGAGGGAAACTAGGTCACACAGAGCACATGAGGGATGAAAACAGAAGAAAAGTCCAATGGGGTGTGACAATATATATATATATATATATATATATATGTGTGTGTGTGTGTGTGTGTGTGTGTGTTTTTTTTATGCAATGTCTTATGTCTTAATTCTTGGCAGTCCGATTAAATACTGAGTTGAGTCATTATTTCTTCTGATATATTTATTACACAGCAAATTAAAGGTAAAGTTGAACACTTTCTATTACAGGATACAGTATTCAGGGCAGTGAGCTCTATTGTATAACGCACATTTTGGCAAATGTATTACAGCTTATCTGGGATTTCCATGCTTACAGAAAATGTGCATGCTATATACTGCAGAAACAGTGAAAGTAGTGTGATAGCAGTTTTTCTGAAGAGGCAAAGTAAAGGGGTAATTCACCACTGACAAGATGGGCTTTTAGCAAAACTAAAAACTTAAATTGGACTAGAGAAAACAGAGCTATGGCATTATCTTTTGCAAGGATACAAAAATGTGGAAGTATGATCTGTAGTTTTCTGTTATCTGGCAAACTTTTGCTGACAAATTAATGGATATCTCTGTGCAGGTAACAAGCCTGTTACAAATCTGTAAAGTTACGCTTTAAACACCTGACCAAGGCCCTGGTGTATTGTTATTTAACCCTAAAATATGAAGAGATAGAAACAAGCTGAATAGGTTTGCAAATGAAGTGCCTAGGTTTCTGGAAAGATTTTATTAGATGAAACAGGTGCACCACTAGGGCTTATGGAGTGTGCACTCAATTTGTTAAAAGAGAACAGTGGAGATAAATGCTCTGATAAGCGACAGTAGAGTAGCAGTAACAATGAACTCTGGGAAGAACCACTGCAGACAGATCATCTCCAAATAATACGTTGACAATGTTTTTTTCTGTTAAACTAAACACTTATCATAACTACAATGAATATTTAATGCAACCTTAAGGAATAACCTCAACAAAAAAATTCACTGAACTGTTGAACCAAATGCAGAGCCACAGTCCTAACTGTCATCTTGGGCTTTAAGATCCTATCATATGTCAACCTGCATGATGATTTCTCAAATGTAAGCTGTAAAGGTCAAAACTGGGCACTCAGCAGAGTTTTATATTACAAGATGTCTGTAATGTTAGAGGAGGCAGATTATCCCTACAGACATCATCAGCACATGCCACATCTCTGCACCAATGCAAGTTTTTTTTATTGGCATTCTACCAAGGGTAAAAAACGAAGAATGAAATATACACATAACAGAAATATGGCAATGGCAGCTAGCCAAAAGCTGGAAATAATAAATACAATTTAGGAGAAAAACAGTACATAATAAACATAAAAAAGCAAACCAGTCACGCTGACAGATATTTGATTGTGCAGAATCTTGAACAAATTTGATGCAAAGTTTGAAAATAGCAAGCATGCATGCTGGCAAACTGACCCTGGACCAGGTGCTCTGAGGTCTGACAAACTCTTTGTCAGCAGTAATTGTGAAAATTATCCATAAGCAGCTACTTTACAGTTGCACCTGAGACACTGAACCGAGTTCCTGAAAATGGACACCGTCCTGCACAACTGGCCATGAAACCTAGTTACCTAAAATGCAGAACTAATCAGTGATCCTGCACTGCTTTTCAACAGCATATTTTACATTTTAGACTATTTTATTTAGTTTGTGAGTTTGAAGTCTGTCAAGAAGTTATCTTTCGTTTGAGATATCCTCACAGGTTTGCACACAAAATCAACAGTGTAGACAGATTCACAAACAAATGACTCTTATGAACCAGTCCTTTTCTATTAATCAAAAACATACAGCCCGATCAGGGTAGTCTGATTCACAAATAATTGCCTCTTAACAGCCGTCTCTTTTCAGTGAACTAAAAACATACAGCCTGACCATGGTAACCCGATTCACAAACAAATGATTCTTTATGAGCTGGTTCTCTTTAGTGAATCATAAACAAACAGCATGATCAGTGTAATCTGATTTACGAACATATGACTCTTATCGGCCACATCTTAAAGGGGTCATATGATGCGATTTAAATTTTTCCTTTCTCT